GGTGTTTACTGGTGACTGTTCCAAAGCTCTGGATAAAACAGAAGTGGTGCGTTTATACGGGAAAATTATTCCAGTCGTAACTTTTTCTTACAGATATTACTGTGATCATTTTGAAGTTGTTTCTGTTGTGACGTCCAAGTGGAAGTGACCACGAGTTGAACGTCGCACCTCATTCCAGGCTGCACATGGGCAGATGGCTAAAGGAGGCTTTGTAATGCAGTGAGCATTGTTTCCAGTGGTTTTATTTGTTAGTAACCACCCCCGTATACTAGAATTGCATATTTATTTCACTTTGGACCGAAACTCTTTTAGACTACTTTAGATTTTCATTTCAAAGTGTCTCATGAGAATCCATGACGTTTTCCAGACATAAGGTACGATGATGTAGTACCATACAGACCTCAGCTGGCTACCTTTGCTTTGCTAGTTCCGTATAGGGAGCATAATAGCTGTTTTGTATGTAAATAAGAGCCCAGCTTTCTCGGCTGAGGCGCTGACTTCAGGCGGGAGTAGGCACGAATCAATGAACACTGAGTTCAGTGCGAATCCTCGGGAGCTGGACGGGGTCCAGGATGACTGCAGCACTGGTTGAGAAGAATTTGGGCTGGAGAAGAGGGAAGGCCAATGTTTCAGTCTTCCAGAGTCTCGGCATTTTTACTATGTCAGGAAGTGAGGTCAGGCACAGCCGCTGTATACTGTAATTGTTTTCCGGAAGGCTAGTCATTAAGTTTTTCTGTTTTTCTTAGGAGCCTTTGTAGTGCGAGACTGTCAGTGGAAAATATTGCCCCTTTTTTTAATATGGTTAACCATATTACATTAGCACAGCGTTGAATTACTCAGGAACGCTTCTCGGGGTACGTTTTTAAAATATGAACTGGTTTTATTTGGTTTAAAATATTTTAATTTTTTAATGTTGTAAAATAAATGACAAAATATTTCAGGTTTTTAGATGCATGTGTCTTGAACAAATAATCTGTGAAAGCAGTAGCTCAAGCTGTTTCTGGTGTAGATTTTTGTTAACTTAGAAATGCGATATCCACTGTTACTACTTTCAGCTTTGCTAAAACAGTGCTTCAGAAGGTTTGTTTCTGAGATGGTTAGTCCCAATTCTATTTTTTTTTTTTTTAATGGCTGTCATGCTGTAAGGGCTGAATTCATCCTTCAGCTCAAACCAAGTTTGGGAATGACCTTTAGCTGATATCTAATAGAAACCACTGTAAAGAAATGAATCAGGCCAGAAGTACTCTTGTAAAACGTAACCTTTCTAAAAATTAATCTATTTAATGCCATACTGACTCAAAAATCTCCAGTGCGTGGTGACAAAGCTCTAGAAGATACCTCTACAAATTCTGCTATTGATTCATATATAATGATTTACTAATTCTCGGTACATTCCTTTGCGGCTCTGAAAACTACAGAAGTTGCCTAGTCTTTAATGCTTGCAGATGGGATTTCTCTTGTTTATTTTTAGCCTAGATTTTAAAATTGTGTGTATTAGCTCATCTTTGATGTCAGTGCAGCCCGTGAATTCTTAGTGTAAATACTTTTTTCTTCTTTTTTTGTTCTGACCACTTGGATAGTTAGTAGTGGTGATAAACTTAAAACACCTAGCTGCCAAGAACAGCCCCTGGAAAATAGCAGTCCGAGTCTCTATTACCCAGCATGTGATAGAACAAACTAGCTTTAGGGGACCCGAAAAGCTTTTTGACACCGTTCTACCTATAGGTAGGTCACTCCTTTTTGGGGCCATGTACAACTCGCCAGCTGGATTTGCCTATCCAGGCTAACTTGGTTTGGGGTAAAACCGAGGGTTCAGGGAACGCCCGGCGTCAGTGACAGCGTTTGAGGGGAGCTGTGAGACTTGGTAGTTGTGGACGGAGGTGGGCTCAGGATCCTCGAATCTCCTCTCTGCCCGCGCAGTGGTTGCCCTCCACCTCTTCTTTAGAAGCAGCCGTCTTCCTCCCTTGCAGCAGCCGTGCTGCACTGCTTGCCCTGCTGCTGCCTTCGCTGGCGAGAGCGAGAGTCGTGGGGCTGAGCTGGAGGACGGCAGGGCCGGATTCCTTGCTCCTAGACCAGCAGTAGGAGGGTGTGGGTAATGGCTTTTCAGGATAAATCTCTATTTCTTTGTTTTGTTTTTCAGGAAATTGTGCTGAGTATGTAATAACTTTTCAGGAATTTTCCCTTTTTTTTTTTTACCCAAATACCACCTACTTCCTTGAATGAAATGGGGACTTTTGGGAGGCGAACCCGTTGATATCATGTTCAGTGGGAATGCTTTATTTCCCTTGAAAAGTTTTACCTGTTAAATTGGGGAGGGGTTGAGTCCCGTGCTCATTTACCAGCAGAGATGCCACCTTTGAGAGCAGCAGTGTCTTCTGCTGCTCTCTTACCAGTATTTTTAAGGAATGAAGCTGTGCTCTAAAACAAAAAAACCCTTGGTTTTTGCAAATCTGTCAGTACGCAGTGGGATGTTCCTCTTTATCGTTAGTGGTCTGCCACTTGCAGCCATCTGAGCCCAGCTGTACAGTACAACGTTAGCGTTCTGAGCCAGGTGAAACTGCCCAAGAGTTATTAAAATGGTTTCATTTATGCGAGTATTTCCATTTTCTCTGACCATATGGAGATTCCTACTGAGACATTAAATTGTATTTGCTATTTTTGGAGATTGTCATTAACTGTATAAAAACATTTGTTTCCTAATAGTCCAAGTAATAAGTTCTCCCTCTGAAAAATGTGAAGTTACAGCACTAAGCAAGTAGAACGTGTGTGTGTGTAGGTGTAAACGTAAATACTACCTGTGTCATTAGGCAGCAGATTAAGGATTCTGAGAGCCATGTGGATGTTGGTGCTCTGCGCTACAATTAGTACTAACTACACTGCGCTGCTCGCTGATGGAGACAAAGCCTCAGAGAACTATATTCAGCCAGTGTAGGGGACTAGGATAGAAACTTTGAACGTTTATTTAAAATTGCAGGTGGTATTGGGACTTATTTCAGAACACGTTTTTCTACAGCTGGTTATTTTTGTTAGTTGAACATTTGAATGCAGATGTAGTTGCTTTTTGGTAAAGGGTTTTCCCCTTCTATGTTCTATGTTAAGTGCTGATTTCTGTTGTCTTTGAGGTTCTTAGATGAAAGAAATGGAGACTATACGCATCTATAAAATATTTTCAATCTGCCTGTGTATACTGAATTCCTATTAGGGCTCTTAAGACTTAGATCTAACCTCTAAACCTCTAAAAATGGGAGAGGTGTAGTGGAAGAAACTTCTGCCTTAATTTTAACGTACTGATTGGCAGTGTTACCATGCAGGTATTTTTAAGTGGAATAGTTATATATGATCAGATGAGTTTGTTTCCTTGGCGGAGGTAATTCAAAATCTGACAAATATGATGGAAGATTATTTTATTCAGGAAATAAATAACATGCTAAGCTCTAAGTATATTTAGGACAAACCTGATATAAATTTAAACTTTGGAGGTCGTTTCTAGCCCTTGCACCTGTGCAGTCATATTTGGCCTCTTAAAATTGTTGCTGGAGCAGACCCAGAAAACAGTTGGTATGCAGAATGAGCTGGTTTCTTTGGCAGCCTTGGGTATTTTGTTATGCTGTATTCTGTGATTGTATCAGTTATTCTGACATGCTTTTGCAAACAAGGAGGAGTGTGTTTTTTACCAATGGATGCTACCAGCCTCTTTACCTTGTAATGGTAATAACAGAAGAAATCCTTGTAATCTCAACTTTTATGACAGACCCTTTCTGAACGAAATGAGATAATGCCAGAAGAAATGATTCCCCCCCAACACTGTCATTTCCATACTGGTTATAGAGAACTGAACAAGGATTTGGCAGCTGTATATAGATTGACTCGGTTCATGCACAGATTTGGGAGTGGGAAATGTTTTTTGTTTTGATTTTGCTTTTTACTTTTAATTTAACGAATTGGACTGTCCTAACCGCGTTTTGTCTTCTGTATGGGTTTCTAGGAGGTAATGGGAAGGGAGAAGGAAATGTCAGCATTTCCTGTATCCTGTTATCTTGTGCTTTTTATGGATGCTGAATTAACTGTGCACTGAAAATTCACTAACATTTGGATTGTATTTTGACTTACTGTAATTACAGATTATTCACTAGAAGCCCAAAACTATGCAGCACTTTTCCATATGCAATTCTCTGTGGTAATCAAAGACTTTTGTACAAAGTACTCTACTCTCATGAGTTGCCTTAAGCTTTGTTTTCACTGTGTCGGACTTGTGTATTGATGACGTTGCAAAATTGGAGAAATTGCATGATTTAGGGGGTTTTTTGATCATCACAGGGACTGAAATGTACATGTAGTATGTGAATTATTTGGCCTAAAACTTAGGTTTCAGAGTACAAGCAATTTAGAAATTGTAACTACAAATTTAAGACTAAAGTGCTGCATAAGTGTCAATTTTGCTACTGTGTAATTGTATCACTTAGATACCGATTTCATCACTCGTGGCATGTCAAGTTGAATATGCATGATACATATTTAAAGAGCATATTTTTGGAAGAAGGATATGTATTGCTTAAATGCGGTGCTTAAAAATGAAAAGTGAGGTAATATATTGGACACCCTGGGTGTACTCCATTATGAAGAACTCGGGTGTTTGACGTGTGATCCCCTCCATACTTTTAAGACTGTCTGTTTGCACAAGTTTTTAAATGTGCAATTAAGCTAGAAGCAGATGTTTTACAGTAACTTTTGTCTCCAGTTCAAGTCAGTTTATTGGAAAATCTTTGGGGGAGGGTTGTGGAGTGTTGAAGTCTGATGATATTTTCCTATTGGGTTTTCAAATATTCAGTTAATAGCATAGTGCAAGTGTTTGTTTTGTGAGGGGAAAAAAACCAAACAATGTCCTGAAGGTGCTGCTGTATTTTTCTTCTGAAACATTGGTACCAAGTTTGGCGAACAAAGTGGAGAATTATTTGGGGAGAGGAGAGACATATCTAATATTGGCACTCTTTTTGTTTTAGCAGGTGGTTAATGTGAGCAGTTGTCAATGAATGGTTTTCAGACATGATGGCCGACCAGCCGCCTCCATTAGAAGCTACGCCTATATTGAATGAAGTGCCACTTCTACCTCATATGGTTAATGGGGACAGCATACAACAGGCAAGTAAATCCATTGCACTTTCATACAAGTCATGTAAAGCTGTGCCAGCGGTGGTAGTAGGGAGGTTGATGTTCAAGCATGCTGTAGAAAACAGAACAGATAGAAAAACTGTTTGTCGTACAACTTGTGTGATGGCTGAAAGAGGAGACGGCTTGAAATAAAGCAACTACGGTACTGATTCGCGAAGTTAGAAAAGCACGTGGTTCTCAGCACTGGTATCATCAGTAAAATAGAGAGGAAGAAAATTATTCAACATTAATATAGTGGAAATGTGAAAAGGTTGCAAATTAAAAGGAATGTTTGTTATATGCATGTAAGCTCTTTAAAATTAAACTACAAAATCAAAGAATAAAAGGAAAAATATAATATATGGATTTAATAAAGCACTAAGGTTTTGAAAGCTCTTCTTAAAGCTCATGTGAAATAATCAGTAAAGGTTAGCAAGTGGTTGCAGTGTTCTAAACCAAGAAGTCTATTGCAGGGAAATGAGAGGAAAGACCTTGGCTTCCTGATATTATTTATCTTCATTAATAATTACAGTGCACTGGTGAAACCTGAGTATATTCAGTTGAAATATTAAAATTTTATTGGACACAACCCTTCAGTGATTAGATTCAGTACCTAGTGTGATTAGAAATACAGACAAAAGTGAAAGCAAAACGATTTGACGGAAGTACAAGCTTGTATAAGTTGTCAGTAAACTTGAGGTGAATTTACTGTTTGGCAGTAGAAGCTGAGTGCCTTGTACTAAAAATGCCGAGATACCTTCCCATCATTTGGAGATAGACTTTCAGTGCACTCAGAAATATTACAGACATCCTGATATTTTAACGCTGGATCTTAATTTAAGAAGCATCTTCCCCCTGCCCTAGCAGCTACAAACTTGACAGATCCTGGTAGGAGAGAAAAGGTTGGGTTTTGTTTGTTTGTTTGTTTTTTAAATAGCTAAGTGGCTGTTTGTTCGCAGGCTGCAATTGGACTGGTTGCTAGCTAATCTCATCTGGGCTCCCTTTCCCACGAAAGATTGGAGCAGATGATCTCTGGATCAGTCCCTTCCAGCCTGGGCTGTTCTATGATTCTATGATAACAAAACATAAATTTGAAGTGTTTGTGTGCCTGCAGTTAAATAATCATTTTGTTGAAACAAGGAACAAAACTGCCCATTGCTTTAACCTGTTCGGTGTATAACTTCAAGTATCTGACAGTAATTGAAATAGGAATTAAGGGGTTAATCCAGAAGGAAAAGTTGCATAGAAGTTTCCGGAGGATAACTGTCATATGAAATGATTATGAAGGGTAACAGTGAAGACCTTCACATGTTTGAATGTATGGTGGATAAACAGGGTACAACAAAATAATCACGAATTGTTGAGGGTCTGATAGATCATAAATGCTGAAAAGTTTTGATGAGATATTCTTTCCTTTGTAATTGTTACAGATGGGGAAGGATTGTAGCATACTTGCCTGTAAAAAATAGCCTTTATTTAAAAGAAAAATTCTATTCTGCTTTTTTCCCTCAGTCCGTGGAGATAAAAGTACAGTGACTGTGTTTTGAAATAAGTAAAGCTGTAGAGTCTCTAAGCTAGTTCTGAAGTTCTAGTATTAGCAATGTGAAATTTTAGACAGTGACCAGCTGTGAGGTTATTCAGTAGGTAGCGTTTCATGTTACACAAGGAAAAGAGGTGAAGTAGATCTAATTGGAGACCATCTCCATAGCTGTATTTGTACAGCATGTCTTGGTATAGATCAGCGTGTAGAGTACTAGTGGGTGTTGAATGACCCAAAAGAAGATGACAGTTGTTGAAATTTTCAGAACCTAGTGGAGACTGCTTGCAATCAGGTGAGGTTAAAAAAAAACAAACCCACAAACAACAAAAACCAGTTGGATCTTGGAGATGCATGGGAAAATGGCATTTGAAGAGTAGACTGAAAGGCTGAGAGTCTCCAAGACTTATAGTTGAATTATACTGGAAATAAGGAGTAAGTCTGTCTATTGAAAATCTTCATGGGACTGGGAACGTGATTTCGTGTTAATGTGCCAGTATTTCTTATTCTAGTGTGTCTGTATATAAACAACCATGTCATGTTGCCGTCGATACCATGTTGCCACCCTTTGGTTGCCTAACAAATAGACTTGCTGCTCTTGTTCGCGGCACTTTTCTCTAGAGAGGCTTCCGAGCTGCAGTCCCACATTGGAAAGTTTACTTTTAAATAGAGTGTTAACTCAGAAGCTTTATTAACGCAGGTGATTTTTAAGCATTTTGCTGCCAGTGCCATAGAGGCTAGGCTAAGTATAGAGTAGTATACAGTGTCTTTCTTTTCAGAAATAAAACCTGTGCTGTTTGGCCAATCACTTCAAACAGTTAGATGCAGAACCCAGTTCATTAGTTGCATTTCACATAAAGTATAAGTTGGAAGTTTTCTGGAAGAGTTTCTTGTTCTGAAACAACTTCAGCAATGGAGAGTGTGTGAATAAGGGATAAAAGCAAAACGCTGACCAGTGCTTTGAAATAGCTTGATCCCACTGGTTCTGAAATGGTTACGCGGGACACCCGAAGGCATTGACACGACTGACTCCTAGCACTAGTCTGTCACCTAACTTGGCTTACGTTGACTCATTAGAAACACTCAAGCTTCCTGGAAATTTTCCTTGGTGGAAGGTAGATGGAACTGCATTTGCTTCATTAATTACAGTGAGTCATTCCTCTAAGACATTGCCCCATGCATTCCTGAAATTCCAGTCTCTGAACTGCTCTACAGCCCTGTGATTACACCACTTACTTATGATCCTTTTTGCTGAGTTCAGTTAATAGTTTCCTGAACTGTTTGTGAGAACTTCAGTTAATTGAAACCTGTTCTGAAGATCTGACATGTTCAGAGGCTCTGAATTTCTAAAAGGATCCCTTTCCTGCCTCTGAATTTTCTTGCACTTGAAGAGGAGGCTTGCTGTGAGGTTTAATACCTGCCTATGGAGTCCTGTCCCCTGCTAGTGTCCGTCCCCAGCAGCTGCTGTTCGCAGCGGACCTCATCTTTCCTGGTTCTTTGTGCTCTGGCAAATCCCCAGCCCGTTATTGTCCGTTTTCTTTAAACAAGTAACACTGCTTCTCTCTCTTTACTCCTAGAAATTCAGTAGAGTCATAAATTTACTTACATACTGACAGATCTGCTTAAGTTTCAGTGTTTTAATTATGCTGTTTTTAAAAGTATTATCTGTCATCTGTCCTTCTCGTGGAACCGTAATGAATATTACTGACTGGCTAGGTGGCCTTTTCAGGGGGTTTTGGTGTTTTACTTATGTCCAGAAGCAATTCATCTATCTTGAGTAAAATTGACTCCTGTACTGTGAACTCACTGGAGCAGGGTCTGTGTTTGTACATGCTTCTACATCCCCTGTTAAAAAATAAAAGCTAAGATTAATACAGCAGTATGCAGAAGCTGCAAAATCTGTGTTAAACAGCGTTTAACAGCCTGCTCCTTTGAGTTTTGTTTTACACACAACAGTTTAAATGTAAGAGATCCGTGCAAACACCAATCTCTTTCTGTGCTGAAGTTGCACCCTCAAGAGTAGAGGGAGAGAGAAGCGGGAGACGTAGGCCATAACTTCAGTAAACATGGGTGTGCTTGCACTGACTCTCATGCGTTAGCTGGAGAAATGTGCTGTGGTTAACGCCAGCATAAGCTACGTGGCAAACTTGTTGGAAAGGAGTAAGTGGAATTGGTCAAAATGCAAAGGTTGAACAAGGAACCACGAGGTCTTTTTAAGTCTCATTCTTTTCAGTGATCTTTTTGTTAATGACCAATATAATAGAATTGAGGCGTACTTAATAAATCTGCAGCTGATGTGAAATGGGAGGAACTGCAAGCATCTTGGAAGCCTGAAATTATTTTGATTACTAGAAAGATAACCTAGAAAATTACAGGTACAAAGTACGGTGTTTAGGTAGTCAGCTTATCATAAGGAATGACTGGGTTTAGTAGCGGTCCTTTAGAAAAATGTCTGCCAAGGGGGGTGGATAGAGACTGCAAGTGGAAGTCGTCAGCGTTGCACTGTTTCCAGAAAAAGGCAGATAAAAATCCAAAAAGGATTTATATACAGGGTATAGCATCTAAATCGCAGAAAACAATCTTTCTTTTATTGGTGCTTTATTCTTTATTTCACTGGTGGTTAAGACATGGAGTAAGGGTTCAGGCTGAAGTAGGGAATGTTGAAGTTAGGTGATAAAATCTGTAATGATGAGGATAGTGAAACTGTGGTGCGGATGCCTGGGGAGTTTATGGAGCTCCATCACTGGAGATGTAGCCGCACAAAACAGACAGGCTTATTCATTAATGTCACGTGTAGTTCATTTTTACCAGGAGTTAGATGACTAGGTGATCTCTTCAGGTCCCATCTACCTGATATAATTGTCATTCCATGAATAGTATAAAAATATTTTATAGAAATTGAATGAAAGTTACACTTCTGAGTTTCATAGCTAGTTTTACAAATATATTTTATTTCAATTTTTACATTGGCCCTTCTTCTTTATGTGCTAGCTGTCACCAGGGTGGAATTTTGACTGTGTAACTGTGCAGTTCTTACATGGCCAAACCCCTCATTTTACTGAAGAATTAGACCTGTGCCTATGTAATATAGTAGAAACTCACTGCAAAATTCTTGTAGTAATGTTGTCGTGTTACAATAAAACTGAAGCACAGCTGCCAATATTTTACAACAAGACTGAAGAACGTGCTGTGAATGAGGTAGAATGAGGTGATCGTTTGTTACCCAGCACGAGGGAAACGATGCTGTAGACTGCCTGAGGAATAATTCTGGCAGATGTCCACACTGATTTGTGTGAAAGTGAATGCAGTCATGTCCAAATTGACCTGCAGAATCTCACTGTTGGCTGTATTTCTTTAGCTACAGGATTACACAAACATGTGAGAGAATACACCTGATCTTTGAGGAGCTGTAGAGCAGAGGTGGTGGACGTGACCTGCTTTATCACCTCTTCTACCCTCCTCCTTCCACCCCCAAAGGACTGCATACTTTATTAAGTTACTCGATAGCATCAGAGAATATATTGTCAAAATACATACCAGCATGCTTTCAATGAAAAAACATGGCTGAGTTTGGGGCAAAGCATCTTTTTTCTTTGGGTTTTTTGGGGGGTTGGGTTTGGTGTTGGTTTTTCTGCTGTGGTTTGTTGGTTGGGGGTTTTTTTGGCGTGTGTGTGTGTGTGTTGTCCTGATTTTGCCAATTTAGCCCTGAAACTGAAATAATCTCATAGGTGAAGCTTGGAAAGCAAGTTGAATCTTAGGTAATTTATTGTTTCAGTAAAAGAAGAAAAAGCAATGTGAAAATATTAAAAATAAAAGCTTAGGTAATTATTTCAAGTGTATCAAGGGGAGCAGTTCCCCTAGTAATCAGAGAAAAATACTGATTATGCAAAACTAAGGATTTTATGTCAAAGTATGAAGAAACGTTGTTCTACCCGTCAGTGTTTCTCATTTTGCTTTTTTACTCCCTGAGGTTGCCAAAGCTATATTGTTTTAATCTAACATGGGTATAAGGAAGAGGAGGGTTTTTCCCCCCAGATAATTTCTAAAATTAAAAAACAAACAAACAAAGAAAACCAACACCTCTTTTGTGTTTTGTTTTTCTACAGGTTATTCTTGTACAGGTAAACCCAGGTGAAACATTTACAATTACAACTGAAGATGGACACATTCAGTGTATTCAAGGTAAAGGAAAAACTGAAGTACTGAATCAAAATATTTTGATTCTGCAAATCTCCCAGAATTACTACCAGTAATTGCTCCTGTAATGTCAAATGTGTTTTTATAAGTTCTGCAATGTAATAAATCAGATTTTTCAGTTTGTATTTAAAGCACAAATGAGGCTGCGCTGGGAAATTGCCAAGATTCCCTGCATCTCTGCAGACTTTGCTGCTAATTTATAAAAGGCTGGCATCTCAGCTGCTTTTGTAATGATCCTTGAATAACTGTCTTCTCAGAATCCTAACACATGAATTTACACGGGATTTAGTCCACACTAATCTAAACAACTGTGATAGACGCTGTGTGACCTCACTTTACTGTAAGGTAGTGGCATTAGCAGTCTGCCGATAGTGTGGGAAGCATTGCTACCCTCTGTGTGTGGCTACAAACTGCTTTCTACCTTCTGGGTAAGTGACAGAGCTGCAGGTCTGAGTCGGGTCAAAATATCTCCTGTAAGTCAAGCTGAATTTATCAGTACTTCCATTTTTGGAATATTTTTCACCATTTCAAATGATATTATATAAAAATGTGTCCATTCTGCTTTCATCAAATCCCAGACAGGAATACTTTCTTTCAGCTTGATGTGAAAAATAATATATTCTTATTTAAAAAAAAAAATAAATTGGTAGACCAGCTGTCAGCATTAATGTGGTGCCAATGTTGTTGCTACAGACTTTTAACTCTGTCACAAAATAAGAACTAAAATTTCTCTATGCTGATTTTTGTACAATTAAAGAAAAACTGTTGGCTGCGTAAGCGTGGGGGTTGGGATAAATCTAATCTGTGCTTTTTGTAGAATAAACGTACAGCCATACTTGCATTCAGCAATATTATCTAAAATTCTGGATGCTTCCTGAAAGTTATTAAATCATACCTAACGTGCATTTTGAACGTGGAAATGAGTTATCTATCGGTGACATAAATGGCATTATTTTTCTTGATGGAAACTTGGTACAGCCACTTTTTTATTTTTTAAACTCGTAGTCCTGATTATTTAAGTTTCTCTCCTAACTGGCTTTTTAATTGGGTGGTTTAAGCCTTGCTTCTAAATCCGCTTGTCTAAAAGTAGTTCCATAAATACAGAGTTGGATGCAGTTGCTGGCTTTTCAGGCACCAAAGTGAGCCACCACCTTTGGGGAAAAAAGGTGTCTCGAGTTTGTAAAAGCCTCGTTTGTTAAAAAGCGGCACCTTGTTACTTCTCAGGTCCAGCACATGTTCCTATGATGTCACCAAATGGTTCTATGCCGCCTATATTTGTGCCTCCCGGTTATGTATCTCAGGTAAACTTGAATTTATTCTTACATTTCCGTATGTTTGTGGGTGTGGCTTTTTACAACAAGGCTACTGATTATTTTATCTGGAACAGCTGTTAAAAGTGGTTCTCATATTTTTTCCATTGAACTTATCAACTATTTAACTTACTTTATTGTAGGCCCTATCACCTTTTGTTCACTTAGTAAAATCTGATCTTGTTTCCAGGATTTTTTTAATGCTGGTACTAGGCAGTAAAAGATTACTTTTAGTAAGATAGTAGATGGCTCTGAATTGGCTGTCTGCTGAGCTCCATTAACAGGATCCACGTCTTGGTTTTTCTTCAGTCCTGTTCTCAAGGTGAGAGTAGGTGCCTGGGCCGTACGAGCAGTCACGGCTGACTGCAGCCTGCTCAGTGTCAGAGGACTGACGAGTAGAGACGGTGCTCAGCTCTGCTAGAAACGGTCTGATGGGAGCGTGGCTGGGCGCAGCCTCCGAACTGAGCGTCTCTCACGCACACTGTGGAGATGAGGCTCGTATTTCTATTCTAATATAACTCTCTTTATCAAAGTTTTCAATGCCCCTTTCTTCACCAGCTCTGATCTCCTTAACATTCAGCAAAACACTCTACTGTTACGGCAGAAGTGTGAAGGGGAGTGTTAGTGCTAGTGACGTGTGCCTATGAAATGAGCAGGACTCTGGGCTTCCCTCCCAGCTTTACTTTTCCATTCTCACTGATTTTCCACTCCTCTGCGTTGTTAAGTCATCGCGGATCAGACCTGCGTGTGGTATTTGAACTCTTATCAGAGATATTTGAAGTTACCAGTTTGATTTACTTTTAAATGAATGCATTTTTAAAGGGAAGCAAGTAAAAACAAATGTTTAAATGGGATAGGCTAGGTTTCTCATTTTCTAGTGATGTTCAGAATTAGGAGTTTTCTGAGCAGGCTTGAAAATCTTGTAACTGTATGTTCGTGAGTTCCCCAGGCAGTTGTCTCTTTGCATACAGCTGCCTCTGCAGTTTGTGCTTCTGCTATTATAAGTAGGTACTTTCATGCAGACCCTGAAGAAAGATCCCCCAGATAATTTATGCATCACTATGAAATTGAGTCTTTAGTGCAAACGGTATGCAAAGCACTGGCAAATGCTGAGGCGTAGAAACTGAAAAATACATTTGTTCTGTGTTTGCTGTCACAGGAAACTAGGAGGTTTGGTTTTGCTTTGTTTTCCCTTGGTCATTGTGAACAGGGATAGACACGTTTGAAGCCAACTTTAAATCAGAGCTTGAGTTGCTTATACTGATCTTGTCAGCAGATGAGACTTTAACTTTCTGTTCCCAAAACTGTCTGGCGGAGCCCAGAGATAAGTTGTGTTGGTTTCTGCCTGAGTGGAATGAAGCAATTCAGTAGTGGATAATGAGGACATAGCAACTTCAGACTGTAAAATCATGTAAAAGTCTTGTTATATTAATGTATCCCTTCTACCCGAAACTCTGCCATGTGTTCTTGCTTGATGTATACATAAAATAGAGTTAACATAGCCATCAAAATTTGCTATGAGTTTTGACTTGTATATGCTATAGCATGTTATAATATTATGCAGCGTAATGTAGTTCAAGTGGTGTATTTAGTTCTTTTGATGAACCAAAAAGCCCCCCACGTTGCTTCTAGAACAAAGTTGTATTCAGTGTAAGCTTAGTCTTAAGTGACTTCTCCTTGTCACTTTTTTTTCTTCTATTTAAAGTCTGTTAAGAGTTGCTAATAATGCAGCTGACTCTGAGGTCATCTCACAGGTGAACTTTGTCATAGCAATTTGTGAGTGGACACATTCTATTTCCCTTCAGAAGAATAATTTCTTGTTAGTTTGCTCTATCTTTTGCTGAGGAGCTTTTCAAAATGTACTTTTGGAGTAAGCAATATTTCAACATCGTAGTGCCTTCTTGGCCAACTGGGAAACGCTACAGTGATTCCTTATAGCCAAACTAAACACGCTTTAGGAGAGGATCTTGAAGGAACTAACAGGATAAAACATATGGCCTGCTTTTGTGTAAGTGCTTTCTTCAAATGCCTGAAAATATAAATTGTGTATGTTTTTGGTAACAGAGGACTACGTAAATAAGTTGAAGTCTTCTAAGAGCTGTTTTTATTTTATATGATTTACTTTACAGATTGCATTAAAAAAAAGATTTATTTTTTTTTTTTAATCTCAATTTTGTATGCCAGCCCGCAGCTGGAACGCGCCCCCCACTTGCATCCTTGTGACCAATATTTTCTGCTGACTACATGATCATCTCTGTTAGTACTAAAGCACTGTAAGGCCCTGCCTAATAGCGTTTGTGATCTGCATTCTTAAATGCAACTTTGAGGAGATGACTGATGTAGGAGGAAGGAAGCATAAAGCTGCTGACTAATTTTAAACCAATCTGAGAAAAATGCCTGGTTTTCGTACTGAGACTTGATTAATTTTGGAGTGTCAGTTTGCCTTTAATATTGAACATTTTTCTATCATTGATTTTTTTTTTTCTCCAATCACATGGCTCATACCTGTTTAATTTTTTGTTTGAGGGAGAGGAGAAAACAATTGATTTGTTGTCTGCCTTTAAATAGGATTTAATACAATCTAGTTTACTTCTGAGTCAGACTTCACATTAGATACAGTCTGAATTTTATGCCAGTGGACTTCCATATTGTGGCAGGAGAAACAAACTGGAATATGACCAGGGGATTTCTCTGATGGTCAGCTCAGAAGCCTTTGACCCCGTCAGAACTGTAGGTGCTGAAAACGTAATCCCTCAGATAAGCAAAATGGAATGTAACCACTGAGTGACAACGAATCAGCGTAGATGTCCTCTGCCTGCACTGTGAACCCTACCTGGAGAAAGGACCCTGTAAACCTCAGCCTCTGGCTGTCTGTTCCAGGTGTCTTAGAGATGAGACTAAACTGGGCATTGTTTTTCTTCAGTGTCATCATTGTTTAATAGGTCTTTTTGTGAATCCTACTCTGGTGTTATTTCTTGACCTGGTCTTCTAAAAACCTGTGTTCTGTCCGAAGTCTCTTCTCAGTTTTAAGATTTAGAGAAGTGTTATTGTATAAAACCTTAATGTATTTTAAATTTACCGTAGGAAAAGCAATACATTGAGATACTAGTGTATTTCACATTGGCAGAATTAGACTCCAGAAGGAGCCTATATATTTCCAGTTTAAGACACATGCTTAAAAGTGTGCGTGTGCATACATACGCATGCACTGTCTTAGCATCCTTTTATCCTAGAGCTCAGACGCGCAGGCAGGTTCTTTGTCTGAATTCTCTTAGCCTGTGGCAAACATGAAATGTTTTGACATTTGCGTTGGGTTGGATCATAGTACAAGACAGCAGAGCTGACTTGTGTAATACGTTGTGCTTGCCATAGGCTAAGAACGTGTATGCAGACGTGTACCACAAACCAGATGACATGCAGGGACTTGTACGTACGATAGCGCTGTCAGTCAGGATGTGGTCTAAAGCAGTTCTTCTAACTGTAATTGCAAGCAGACTGGGAATTACACCCTGATCAATTCACGTTACTTGTTTAAAAGAATATATACATTATTCATAAATTACAGATTGCTTAGCACTTTAGTGTGTGAGGTTCAGCTTCTTAAAACTGCCTGCCTCAAACTCCAGTTTCTTCCAGTAACGTATGCTGTGTTTCCGCTGGAGTTCGTTTCGGTGTGTGTATCCCTGACTGTCAGATTGCGGGTATAAACTTAAGCATAGGGGTTCTGTATTAAATGTACAATATTTACAAGATTGGTTTTGTACTGACGGTTCGTTTCTTATGTTGCGTGACAGGTGGTGGAAGAAAATGGAGTTCGCAAAGTGGTGGTATTGCCACACTCGGCTGAATTCCATCCTTCCATGCATCCTCCTCCTCCTCCTCCCCATGTGCCACATTACATGCATCACCACCATGCTTTGCTTCCCCACCCACCTCACCCAGTGTACCCTCCGGTTCCTGGGACGGGAGAGCTACCACCACAGTTCATTCACCAGCATCCACCACCGCACGTTTTTCAAGAACAAGGTGAGAGCGCGGGTGATGTTTAAATACACGAGAGGGCCTTTCACTCGGTGCGTCTAGATTGAGACAGCCGAGGTCTGTCGGTGGCTCTTTCACACGTTTCTGTGATTTTTGGTGCTAGTTATTAGACTCCCTGAGCCTTGGGTGCGTTTATGGGGTATCTTAAAATACACTTGTGTGTAAAGTATCATGGAGCCTGGTCTGAAGGCACTCTGCATGTGCAAAGTATGATTGTATAAAGTTTAAATCTTCAGCTGTTCTGTTTCTAAAGATCTAATGCAAAAGCAGTAACTTAGAAGTGTTCTAATACTGTGTATATTTTTCATGGTTCCTTACTTTTGTTACTGTAAATGCCACAATGATTGCTTCTATCTTTCTCTAAAATTGCGCTCTCCAAAACTGCTGTGTTTTGTCACAGCCTTGGCATGAAGCTTTTTGAAAATGCATTTAATTTGATACATGAATGTATTTTTTTGGCTAGATAGAGTCCAAATACGACTGGCAAGAAAATAAAAATAACATACATAAACCAAAAACCATAGTAATCCATGTTGGAGGGTGAAGTGCAAGTCCACTTTATATGTAAAAACTGAATGAAGCAATACTTCAGTGGAGGACTGGGATCACTGCTGAATTAAACCAGGCTGTAAGCCTTGTTATATAAACAAGCATTTAACACAAAGAAATTAGACTATGTAAGACTATTCACTCTCTCTGAAGCTTAAATTGGTAATTAAGCTATTTTGGCTCATGTCTAGGGTAAAATATTCAGTAGCACCCGAGCTATGTTTTAAAAAGTTAGTTTTGGTCCTGAACTAGCTTACACTTTTTTGAAAATGTGACTGTATGGCTATATCAGGGAGGAAAGGCAACTGTAAGGCATAATCTTGAGCAGCTAACAAAAGAGAAAGGCCTGGAGAATTACGTTTTTAAAAAAAAACAAACCCAAACCCTGAACTCAGCAAGTGATCAAAAATAATGCTTAAGAAAAAGGAAAAAGAAAATCAACAATTTGGATATGGGTTAAATAGGAAAGATGGGAATTTGCTTGCAGATATTTTGTGTATCTTACTGTAGCATCTAACTAATGTTGACAACGTTTCAAAACAAGAATTAAACCTCCAGGCACATTCTTCTCCTGCTGCCTGATCTTTACGCTCGTGGACTGATCTGAGCCCAGTCCGTAAGCCCTTTGTCAGGTGAGGTTCCTAAAGCCTAGCGAAGCTCTGCCAGTCAGCAGCGCGCTACGTGCACGTCTCTTGTCTGTTGCTCTGCTGCCCAGAGACACCCGAGTGTCAGCCGTGAAACTCCGCGGGACTTCACGGATGCAGCAAGCCGAAGTGATGCGAGCCATGCAGCTCCATGCTTCTCCAGGCTGACAAAGCAAGCACAGTGAAGTTCCCGGGGTTTTCAAGCCCTGGTTTTACTGTAGTTATTCTTCTAACTTCTAGAGTGTTTCTCAGATGTCAAATAAATTGTACTGAATAATGAAAAGTCCTCCTTTCTTTGTAGAACCTCATTCTCATGGAAGGACAAACTTCATTCAGCGAGATGAAAGGAGTCTCAAAATGCAAGAACACCTGAAGAAAAGACTAAAAGACAGACAAGCTAGTGGTCATACTAACAATAAACTTAACAGTCCTCCATCTTCACCGCATAAAGTTGTTAATTCTTCCAATGCAACAATTCAGAATGGAAATGGAAAGGGACAGCAAGGGGCAGGAGGACCACTAAAGCAGAAGCAGATAGGAAAAACAAAGGGCAGTCCAGATGCAGAGATGGGAGGTAGGTTGCATTGAAAGGGTAAAAAAAAAATCTAGGTTCTTTTGTAACAGAAGATGCTGTAAGTTCATTGCAAAATAGTTTCTGAAAAAACTGAATCTGTAAATTTCTTTGGCTGTTCAGGGTTAGAGAAAGCCTGAAATGCTTTTCATTATGTTTAGCTTTTTTCCCCTGTAGAAATCATAGTAATGTCAAGTTTGTTCATTTGAGATTTATCAAATAAGGTCTTCAGGAAGATTTAATTTCAAACCTTTTGTTTACTTCTCTGCCTTTTCTGACCCAGGAGTGATCAATATTCCAAGTGAGGATGACCTGTGGGTACTTACATAAAAGACTTCTGGTGTCATTCTTTGTGGTACTTTTCAGATGACTAGGAGTTACTTAAAACTTCAAGAAATAGGGAGGTTTGAGCAAGTGTCCGTACAGGTTGCTGTTTGATCAGCTGTAATTTCAGTTCAGTGCATTATTTTGCTCAAATGAATGTTTGAGCTTTTTAATAGCTTATGGCTATTCACTTGCATATAGTAAAATACCTTGTGTACAGTATCTTTGTCTTTCCTGTTGGTTTGAAACGGTGTCGCTGAAATGCAGACAGTTTCTTATCATGATTCCTTAAATGATTTGTGCATCTTTTGGGGGGGGTGTCTTCAATTAAGTGGTCTTGTTAGGCTGCAATGCCTAGTCCTCATCTGTGTCACTGTTGTATTTAACTCTTCGGTTAGAGAAAGAAAAGAGAAATCTGACTTTGCATCTTGGGAAGTAAGTAGAGGTGGAAGCTTTTATCCAACTTGTTTCAAGGACGAAAAATATACTCCATTAAAGATTTGTCTTAATACAAATTTACTGGGGGGCGGAAGTTTTTATTTGTGGGCAGAATAGTATCCTGATTTGTTCGACATGGACAATTGTAAAGATAGGATTCCGTTTACAGATGTGACCCTGTTGGTACCTGTAGGTGTTTTTAATGTGCGGTTTTGATCAGGCTTCTTCCAAATTGTGCCTAGACCAAGTGTTTTGCAATAGGAATTCAAGGAAAGCACATATAATAGAGAGAGAAGATCTTATTGTCATTTTTTTAACACCTTTCATTTTTGGAGGAATGTTTTTGTGTTGTCAAAGAAAACCCATTTATGCTCGGATTACAAAAATATACCCTTTGTGCAGGATGTACTAAAAGGGTTTTTGTAACACTGTTAGTTTTGGATAGTTCATGTTTCTACCCCTCACGCAGCCAAAACAAACAGGGGAAATGAACTTTGCACAATAAGTACTATTGTTAAACTCTTAATGAGGCGAACTCCATCTTGTGGTGGCATTTTTGTAACAGACTGGTTTACTCTTGGGGTTTTCAGTAATCTGTTTTGTATTTGAAATTTCAGAATCTGACACGGAATCCAAGAAATGTGATAGTCACTTGAGCATTGGCAAGCCAGTCGTAAGTATTATCCTTAAAATACCATTCTTTTCTGTGCATATACTTTCTATAAAATAACATGTGTCTTACTGATCTCCCTTTTGCTTTTTTCTTAATGGTTTATTTTTTTAATAGAGAAAATATATTTTAGTTGTCAGAGTTTATAGCTGGGAAAGGGCAACCATGCTATGGAAACCCATTGTTTCTCAGCTTTCTGAAACTGTCTGGCTGACTCAGTTTCCCAGTCTGTAAGCTGAGAATATACCCACTGTTGAAGTTGTCTAGTGGATGTGAGGGCTTTAATACCTTGCGAACCAAGGGCCTGCTAAACTAATGGAAGTCTGTCCACTCTTGGAACCGTCCTTCGTTCAGCATAGAGGATTTAAGAATATTTGGAATAGAGTTTAGAAAAACAGATCATCTTTTTTATGTTATGTTTAGAAATTGGAGCAAATATTTGAGTATTTACAGACTTATTTAGGAAGTTGGAGTCTGGTGACGTTAATTTAAATGTCTAAAGGCTGAAACTGCACTGATATTTTTGATCTTGAGCAGGCTTAATGAAACTCTTCTTTGCATTATCTACACAGTAAGCATGGGTTGTATTCTTTTGCTCCAGCTTTCTAGCTATTCTTTGTTACGATAGTATTTTTTTCATTGCTGCTTCTGACGTCTGTACTTAATGCTAACAGAAGGCTGTGTTGACTTCGTCAGAGAAAATTTGGAGTATGGGAATTAAGCAGCAAAAAACTTAGACCAAAAATTTTAGTTGTGAGCACTTAAAATCAGAGCCTCTTGCTATCCTGCAGCTTAGTGGTTAAATATTAAGATTATGTGAGGGAGTTGTAGCGGAGTTAGAAAGTTAGGCCATCTGACTGTGCCTAAATAGAGATCTGGTGTCGGTGTTCAAGACTCCAAATCTGAACATTTGCTCCAAATGAGTGATGCAAACAGTGCAGGTGGAATAGAAATTTTCTCTTCATACACTGAGACAATGTAGTGTGTCTATACGTTTGTTTAGTGTTTGAAGGGAAATCCTTTAATGTGATACTTTAGAAATGAAAAGAGGAAATAATTTACATTCAAATAATGACTCGATATTTCCACTACAAAGGTAAAGAATTCCTCCAGTGAGGAGCTTCATAGGCAAACTAGCGACGCCATGTTATTGACTAATATACCTTTTATTACAGAAAGCAAACTTACTTGCATTATTTATGCTTTTAATAGGTTTCTGATATACAAGCAAGATCAGCCGTTCTGTCCTGGAATCTCCCAGTTAGTTCACAGAATGGAGAGAGCCATAGTCATAGTCCAGCAGCATTTACATTTGAAGTAGCAATATCCAACAGTGGTAAAAATGGAAAATTTAAATCTGTCTATGTGTAAGTTTAGTTTCTTCATTTAAGCACAATACCGATGTTTAAAAACATTAACCAATCAGCAATCTCTCTATCAGGAGCTGTTTGTTGACTTGCAGACCTACCTACTTCACATGAAATAAATTTTAAGTAATATCACTAAGAGTTACATGGACAATGGAAAACGTGAAAATTAAATGTGCGCTACATGGTTTTGCTTTTCAATAAGCTTTTGTCCTTTAAAGTATAAGGAAGAGCTGAAACTCTTTTTTTTTCTTTTTTTTTTTTTCCCCCCCTCCCTTCCCCTTTCCTTTTCACAGTGGGGAAGAATTAACAATTACACTTCCTGATCTCAGACCAGCAACTGATTATCATGCCAGGTATGTTGCTGGGAATGAAATACTTAACGCTTTTGTTAATATGTTAATTACAAAATTCTTGTGGCTTCGTGAAAAAGGTGTGCTCACAAACAACTTGAGGAATATTCTGCAAAAATATCATAGCTATGGCCACTACTGTTGCTATCTAAATTCACACTTACCTTCTAATTTCATAAAAATGTCACCTCATTTTCTTCCCTACTATCTTCTCTGTCTCTTCGTGTTTCTCAAATACAAACTTTTAAGTTATCCTCTGGTATTTTTTTAGAACAACAAGATTGGACTCAGTGAAAGAGATTGTTGTAGGCTGAAGGCAGCGGTAAATAAAATAATTTAGCCTTGAACATGGATTTGCAATTCTGACTTGTCAGCTTGATTTGTAAAGTTGCTTCTCTAAACTGCAAGCTTCTGTAGCAGTGCAAGAAGGGAAGTGGAAACTGGTTGAGATAGGGAGAAGTTAGATGCTGCGTTACAAGGGAACAAGACGTGACATTCAAGAATTGCCACGCAGAGTAAATAATACTGGAGAAGGTGTTTAACCGGTCAGGAAAAAGACCAGCTGGTTAAACAAACCAGGAGAACGCTGTGATCCAGTAGCAGAAGCGAGAGCCTCAACGCTTGGGCACAGGAGGAGACCAGCTCTGAGACTTACTGAAGCAAAGTCCTATCCTTAAACTGCAGGAGAGTTCTGAGTGTGTTAAATACTCGGCACAGCTCCACTTGCACAGTGTAGCACAGCGTGTGTTTGGTTCCTGGTGGTGCTCTCCATACAGGCCAGCTTTCTTTTACCTACAGTTCACTTGATGAGACCGACAGTATTTCTGAAAAATTAGTCAAGTCATTGCTCTTCAAAAACAAACGTAAATGAGCATGACTGTTCCAGAGATTCTGTCCCACTTGAACAGTTACACCAATAAATGTGGCTTTACAGCTGACTTAGCCCATTTTAGTATCTGTACTCTTGCCCACGTAAGCGTTGTCCGTATTTGAATCTCAAGGTCTTTTCAGCAAAAGGTTAATTTCAAGTCAGGTGTTCTGTTACCATTTGGTAACACTCACTGTAGTTTTCATCATGCCTCCCACGTGTATTTCATCACTAAAGTATCTCCACTGTGATAGATAGTAATTGTAAAGTACATGAAGGATGCCAAATGGAGTCTTCAAGATCAGTAAGTGTGCCCATGTGATCTCCATCACACTGCTCTGTTAGCACGCCCCCATCTCCCTGAACGTAGAACAGGTAGTAGTGTGTCTTATGATGTGGGCATCAGTTACTAGGGCCTGGAGCGACATCATAAACTCTCTTTTTGTTATTTCCTCCTGAGCGAAAAAGCATGACATTGTTGTCTTTTAGACCCAATGATCTGAAAGAAGAGTGATTGGGCACTTGTTTCCTATAACGTGAGCAGGCTGGGCTTGTGGCTGTAACCACTGCTAGTGATTAAATGCATTTCTAAAGCTGACAACTCTCTCCTTAAATTTTCAGGTGCTGATGCAATAGCACCCTAATTAATTGTGCTTTGTTCAGAGTTTCAGCAACCAGCAGTTCCATAAAAGAATCCATTTCAGAATTAGTGAGTTTCACTACAGAAAGTTGTGAGCCAGACTGTCCAGCTGCACCGAAGCTAATTAACAGAACCAAAACCAGCCTGAGTTTGCAGTGGAAGGTAAGCACGCTGATGTATTCATGTCTGGTATGTTTAAATTAGCTGTGTCAGTAATTTAGTGTGTACTTCAGGTGTCGGCTTTTAAGTTGCTCAGTTAAGACTGATAATTGAAACCGTGATTGTTTCTTCCTCTTTCTTCTGCTGCTTACTTCGTTTCTTGCATATGGCTTTAGCGTGCTAGAGTCGGTAGCAGGTCTCTCCAAGTGTGAACTACTCGGTAGGAGAGTTCTCTTCTGAACTGGCAGCGTAGGGAAGAACAGAGCATTTATATTTTCGCTTGGGGGTTCCTGGATGATAATTAGCTATAACTTAACGTTAGAATTCAGAGTTCTCATAGTTACTCTCACCAACTCATAGTGAATTTCTTTGGCTAGTTTGTAGATTTAACTTTTTGAATCTGACTTTTGACGATGTACAGTATCTGTGAAGACTTGTTGGTAACCATGTTTTCTTGTCTTTTCATGTTTTTTCTTATGACTATGCTTATACCTGGAAAACGGTTTATGGCTAAATGATTTTAGTTAAATTATTTGTATAATCTCTACTCAGAAAGTAAAGGTTGTTCCCAATTTGTATGTCATAACAAGCACAAATGTTGCCTGTCTGAACGCTTACGTTGCTCAGACAGTTGGTGAACACACAGTGTGAGGACGAAAGCAAAAAAGCTGTAAGGATATCATTTGCCTCATTCATAAAGTAAAACCAATCGTAAGTTTGTATTCTAAACTATCAGGATTAGCAGAAGTAGTACAGCAGCCTGGAGAGCCATCAGGAACGAGGAATTAAACTAGTTCAACGAGCTGCTGGTTTTTACCCTTTCTGAGTCACTTTGCTGAATACGTGTGTCTGTGCCCACAGTGCAGTTTCAGATTATCACAAGTGTCTTTGTGGAAGAAGAGGGCTGTTCTGTGTGCCTACCGCAGATTCCTTTCAGCTCTACGTTAAATATTTTGCTTTAAAAGGAACTTGGAACGTTTTATATTCAATTGTTAACGTGTTGGGGGTTTTTAATGTGCAAAAATATTTATAAAGTACAACCATTTGATTTTAACTTTTTCATTGTTTCTTTATTTTCAGTCCTCAAATGACAATGGTTCCAAAATAACTAATTTTCTTTTAGAATGGGATGAGGTAAGACCTTTTCTGGTGCAAAAAAAATCATAATGACATCTGTAGACCAATTATACTTAAAAATACTTTCTGCTTAGATACATCAGCTATTTTCAGTGCAACTGTCCAGACAGTTTTAAAGGGACAAGCCAATTAAAAAGCCTGAACCAAATGACTAGTATTGCAGCAATTCCAGTAGACGATCCTTTCGGATCCTCTGAGAGGACAGTGCAGAACTCCCTCATTTGGTCCTTGTCACTCAGAGCATCGTCAATTCCTATGCTCGGTTTAAACGGATGAGCATTCAGCTTCTGTCTTCAGTAGCTGTCACAAATATCACTCAGCTCTTGAACTTCTTACTGAAATGTATTCCAAAGTGACAAAAAACTTCAAAAATGTGTTTTGTTTTCAACTGCGGTTATTTATTACCATTTTGTCAAATCTACAGTGCCAAAAAATAAAGATATCTCAATCAAAATGTGGTTTTATTATCAAGAATGCTCAGGATTACTATCGGCATACTCAGTATGACCGTGATGACATTAGCTTTTTGCGTTCTTTAGGCTTACTCATCTTTTTTAATTATTATTAAATTAGTGAAATGAAATTTAGGAAAATTCAGAGTGAAGAAGTTGACCTTAGCAGGGAGCATACAGTCGCCGTGCAAAAAGTTACTCAGGTTGTTCTCGCTTTTTTAAAGGGGAAGAATGGACCCTTCAAAGAATGCTACTACGGGCACCTGAAGCAGTATAAACTTAGCAAACTCTCTCCTTCTACAAAATATTCACTCAGATTAGCTGCTAAAAATGATATTGGAATGAGGTAATGAACACAATGTATCATATCACTTATTTTCTCATCAACTATGTCTGCTGCTGTTAATATTTTTATTTTTTTTTAATATTTTTCCAGTGGGTTCAGCGAGACAGTGACATACTACACAGCGGGAATCGTCCCACCAGCCCCATCGCCCCCAGTGCTCGTTGAAGCGGGAGTGACCTGGCTGTCAGTCAAGTGGAGCCCACCTAACGGGGTGTCTTCAGAGGACTCTCTCACTTACAGTTTAGACATGGAAGAAGAAGGTTCTGTAAGTGCTGGGTTTTGTTATACGCGCAAAAGCCTGATAGGCAGTAGCGCTTAAATAAAAAATTAACTTTCCAATGAAATGCTGCGAAATACTGCAACGGTTGGCAAGTATTGCATGTGTTAGTGAAACGAAGATGAAGTTCTGATCTGGCTTTTGTTGTATCGTGGAAAATCAGTGACTGCGTTTTGTTCTTATTTTCCCTCCTTTGCAGGGTTATGGTTTCCAACCACAGTACAATGGAGATGAACTCTCGTGCACTTTAAGAAATCTTAGGAGGAGTACGTCCTATAAGTTTAGGGTTTGTACTGTATTTTGTTTCTGATTTAATTATGACTCTATGCTTTTCCGGAGTTTTAGCATTTCCATACAGCTAAGACACTTTCTATGGAGACAGCAGAAAATTACCTGCAGTACTTGTGTTGTTATAATAGGTTTTGGTGGAATCGTAATACAAATAAGATCTCTTGCACTAGCTAATTCTGTTTTCTTTTAAATTGTTGTCTTTTCTGTTGTGGGGTGGTTTTTGCTTTGGTTTGGTTTTTTTTCCCCATGGAAGAACTTTAGAAATCAGCAGCGTATTACTTGTCATTAAATCAAGCATTTATTATATATTCCATTCATTCCTGAAACAGCTCTTTGCCTACAACAGCGAAGGAAAAAGCAGTCCCAGTGAGGTGGTAGAACACAGCACCGATCCTGACAAACCTGGGCCACCAAGTAAACCAACCGTAAAGGGCAAGATCCATTCGCACAGCGTGAAAGTTACGTGGGGTAGGTTACCTTCTGTTACCGCCGTATTTGAGTGCTGCTCACTCGTACAGCGCTCAGTAACGCAGATTAAAACACAGAGGCGAACTCGGGCTAATTATTTGTCTCTGCAGCTATCGCTATGGCAGGAGAAATACTTAGCGTTACCAGAAAATTGCAACTTGGTTTGTTTTGGGGCTGTAGTGCAAAAGTAGGGGTTTTCCTTATTCATTTTAGAGAAGCGTTCAATGCTATTGGCTGGGGGCTAGATTTATTGTGATGCTTAAATAATTTTCATGTGCTCTTAAAATAAAAATAAGAGATGATACCTGAAATGGGCGGTATTTTCCTCATTACTCTTCTTCCCGGCATAATCACGCTTAATAATAGAAAAAAAACTATTGTTCTGGGAGACGTATTGTGAACATACAAGTACACAGCTTTCTGTTTCTGTTTGAATTGAGTTTTCTACTTGAATATATTCTACAACGAATGGACATCTTCTCTGAAAAAGCTGATAACAAAATAATGCATTGTTTTTAAATCTTCTGTAATTTATTTTAAGATGTTGATTTCTTTCAGAACCACCCAAGGATAATGGAGGATCAGACATTTCTAAATACTTCCTGGAAATCTCAGAAACATCAGTTGGTAGGCAATCATCTTTAAGTACTAACTCAGCTTGTGTACTGATTCACTACTCATTGTTCTAGCAATTACTGTTCTGTTGTGATGTGTATATCGTGTTGTACGTGTTCTCTGCAGAATGGGTCATTCAGGTTTGATTCTGTGGCTTGACTGTCTGCTTAATTGTGTGAGAGAGTTTTCAAGGTTGATTTTTGCAAAAGTTCTGTAGTATAAAGTATTTTTTCTTTCTCCTCAGGAAGTAAATGGGACACCGTATACAGCGGTTCCCAGAGAGAACACGTGTGTGATCATCTGAAGCCTGGCACTTCATACAGAATGAGAGTTTATTGTGTCAGTAAAGGTGGTGAAAGCCAGGTGAGAAAAATGAGAATAAATTTGCTTCTGAAATCCATTTCTATTCATGTTTTAGTGAAAAGTTGTTTGGTGTTTCCACTCTAAAATAACGTGTATCACTGCTAGGCTTCTGATGTTATGACTGTTACGACATCAGCTGTTCCTCCTGGACCGTGTCATGCTCCATGCCTGGCAGGCAAAGCTAAGCCCAAGGAAATCACTTTACAGTGGGGTAAGCGCCAGTGTTTCTGAGCAAAATATTTTTCTGATTTTAAATGTCAGAACAAAAATGAAAAATCTGTAGAACTCTTCAGGGGGGGAAAAAAAAAATATATATATAGATGTAGTCCGTGTCCTTAGTTGTTTGGTTGGGGTTTTTTTGAGAAGACCAAAGCTTGCTAACCACCACTGACTCGGTGATGCACGCATGTGCAACGATGTGGCAAGACTTAAGCAGACATAAATGTCTTCCAGTGAGAAGGCTGGAAGTAATGACTGCCTCATGACTGACACGTGCTTGGCAATTTAAAAATCAACCCTCCTTTTCTCATTTTTATCTCGGTAAAGGAGATAATCAAAAAGTAATGAAGGTACACTGGATTTTGAAGGACATATATGGAAAATATCTGAAAAAGACTGATGAAGGCCGTCTGAAACTAATCGGTATCTGGGGGGAAGAAGCAAGCTTCATAAAGTGTTTCGGCTCAGATAGATGACAAAAGCCTGCACTCTAACTTTTAGAATTCATCTGATTCAACTTTTAGCTTCAGAAGGCTGCGGCTGCTTAGGAACTATTTAAAAGAAAAAGTGCTCTGTGAAATTCATAGGGGGGGAAAAAAAAATATCTCTTTTTATTTCATAGGCCCACCATCTGTAGATGGAGGCTCCGACATTACAGAATATATTATAGAGATGGCAAACTCTGAACAAGATGAACGCAGACAAGTGTATCAGGGTCCAGCATCTGAATACGTAGTAAACAACCTGCTTCCAGGGAGAACGTACTGCTTCTGGATACGAGCGGCAAATAAAGTTGGGGTAACTGCTGTGCTAATGGGATCAAATTTGGGGTGTTTTTACACAAAAGGTAGTAACGATACTATTGTCTTACAAGCCTGCTGATATTTTGTAGCTTCCGTGTTCTGTCGTAGTTCTGTTGAAGGAGCAAAATTTCTTACAGCATAAAAAATACGATTCAAAGAAGGTTCAATAAATTCGGGCTGAAGGAAGGACTGAATGTCCCTGACTGAGGGGATGCGCACTGCGTGTCGCGTCCCTGTTGCTGTTTACTGGATTGCCGTCAGTACCGACGGTAACTAGTCCAAAGGTAGTGCTAGACATTCTCTTACCACTTCCAGTCATTTCTTTGGCTGCAGTATAAACCCTACGTTTCTGGCTGTGAATAACCACTTAATGTTTGTGCCTTAAGAAACCGCCTGATGTTTTACAATTAGCGTAGACTCTGCAGGCCGGTGGTGTGGGAATAGTATTGTGTAGAGAGGGGTGTGTTCAAATAATGCCAGGTTTGAAAAAGGTTGGGATAAATGTTGGTTGCGTAAAAGTCTGTCTGAAACGGTACCCAGCTGCTTCTGGAAGCCAGATCCTGACTACAGGGGAAGGAGGAGTTACAAAACCATAGCAGTGGAGTTAGTGGGAGGATTACAGGGCCAGCTTACAGAGTAAACTACCTGAAAGGAATTTTAAACGGTGCTGTGAAACTAAGCACTGAACTCCTCCATTTATTTCTCTATCTAGTTAAAAATAATGTCTTTTCTTCAGCTCATACACTTGCACGTCAGTTTTTGCTCTACTGCTGTTGCTGTATTCACGCAATCGTATTTTCTTGCAGTTTGGCCCTCACTCTGACAAAGCAGAGATCTCTACGGCTCCAGGACCCCCCGATCAATGTTGCAAACCCCTGATAACTTGTAAAAGTGCAACTTGTGTTGTGGTTTCATGGGAGGTAGGTTTTAATGATTTTCGGTAATACACAAATTAATATTTGGCTTTTAGAATTCTGGTGACACATGTATGATACACAGAGATGGAAGAAATAACAATTGTGGGGGTGGAATATTCTGAGCACATCTCTTCATAGAGGTATACATTGGTTTTGTCAATTTTGCCAGCTATGAATTTCCATCTTAACTGACTAAATGGGGTGACATTTAATCCTCCTCATGGTATGGTAGCTAGTATATAATATATTTAATTCGTCCAAGTGGTAAGAGATTGTGAGTCATTCAAAATTCTGGTCTGAACGGTGGTGGTGTGTTAGACATGCGTCCGGACGGAAACCTTTTAACAAGCTGAACTTAAAATCATGCCCTTGGCTATGGTGGAAAAGACCCCAGGTTTCAACCCCAGTGCTTCTGTTCCAGTCTCTCTGTTCCGTGTAACGAGAGATCACACTTGTATGGTGAACGTGTGTGTGTGTGTGCAATAGCTGAAGGACAATTTATCGCTTACACCCACAGAGTCCTGCGTGCAACGGTGCAGAAATCGGTGAATACAGACTGGACTGGGGACAGGTGGAAGGATCAATGCATGTCATTTACACTGGCCCTTGCCAGAGCTATGAAGTAAAAGGTCTCACACCTGCAACCACGTATTACTGCAGAGTCCAGGTATGAAAAGCCTTTCGTTACGTGTTACTAAGCAAATGAACAAGTACGTGCAGGTTGAAGAAAAACTTCAGCTAGAGATGAATAAAATTACGTGCTGTCACCTACTAACGCAGCATAGAAGGCAATTGGTAAAAACGCTTTCCCTTCTCCCTCAGTCCCTCCTAACTACAGCTTTCTAGAAATGAAATTTAGATCTAGTGTTGCATTAAATACCAGACATTTTGCCGTAGTTACATTTTATTGGGGAAATTTTCCATTCCCTTCCAACAACACGCAAAAGGAAGCGTGATAGATGAGACTGTCTGGTTAGAAAAAAATGTAGATTTTGGCAAACAGTACGCGGCCTCTCTTTCAGGCTGTGAACATCGCTGGAGTGGGGTTGTTTGGCGAGACTGCTGTGGTGACAACCCCCGCGTCGGTGCCTGCAGCAGTGTCAGTACTGCATTTACTTGAAGAAGATCAAATGGAAATTTCTCTTCCTTTATCAACGTGCCTTGCAATTCAATGGGAAGAACCGTGTTGTCATGGGTCGGAGATCACTGGGTATAATATAGAATATGGGGAAAAGCAGCTTGTAACTGTTGGGAGAAATACGAGCCATGTTCTTGAGAATCTGCTGCCTGACACTCTGTACAGGTAATAACTAAGCGTTTTACTCTGAAACCACATTTGTAGGCTTTTCAATCAATAGCTTTGCAGGTAGTGTTTTAAATTTTTAGAGCAATTTTTCATTTGGCTTATGGACTATTCACCTAATTTACTCTGCAACTCCGAAAAAGTAAAGTGAAATTGTCATATCCGGAATCAAACGATGACGTTTTAGCGGCAAGAGTTAAGATTCCTGTGTTAAGATTAACATTCTGTCTCGCAGCCAGGGCTTTATTCTAATTTTTCTGGGTTTAGAATTTTTCATTCTGAAGCAATGCATATAATGGGATGATGAGCATCTCGCTAGAAGAGGACGGATGTACAGATAAGAGCAGAATAGCTGTTCCTGTGCTGCGTGCTCAGGCTTGGTTAAAGCTCAGTTCAGATTATGGATCTTCAGTGTCGGTGGGAGGCAAACAGTTGAGGTTAACGTGGAAGACCCGGGCGCTTGTTCACTGAACAGAATAAACCTGAACAATACTGAGAAACACTGAAGCTTCGTTATGTTGAGAACAACGCAATTACGTTGACTTGTTTTGAAGTAACTGAACTTGGAACAGGCTGCCCAGGGAAGTGGTTGAGTCACCATCCCTGGAAGTATTTAAAAGACGTGTAGATGAGGCGCTTAGGGACATGGTTTAGTGGGCATGGGGGTGTTGGGTCGACGGTTGGACTCGATGATCTTGGAGGTCTCTTCCAACCTTAATGATTCTATGATTCTAAGTAGATTATTTCTATAGTTAAATTTCTAACTGCATTTTAATTGCTTTATCGTTTGGAATTACATTCTTTACGAATTTTAACTCTTGCTTTACTACCTAGCGTTTTTTCAGGACCTCAGTAAACTGACCATATAGCTGCTTTTCTCACATTTCTAGAATTAGAATACAGGCCATAAACAGCTTTGGAGTTGGTCCTTTCAGTCATTCCATTAAAGCCAAAACGAAACCACTACCTCCTGACCCTCCTCATCTTGAATGTGTGGTCTTCAGCTACCAGAGCCTTAAACTTAAATGGGGTGAAGGTCCTAGCAGAGCTTTAATTACCAACCCTACACAATTCAACTTGCAGATGGAGGACAGGTTTGGCAGGTAAGATAATCGGAACGTTAAGGATATCGTTGCTTTACAACTTCGTTTCAAGTTTTTAAGGCGTTTTAAGTATTCTCTCTTCCGTTTGCACCAGTAAGTCATTTGGACGTCCCAAAGTTTGCCCCTTAGTTTGCATTTTTGCATCGCATCTTTCAACCAGAAATGCTGCTAATAGCTGCTGCGCTAGTATTTACTTGTAAACAGTAAATACTATTTACTATTTAAATAGTAATTTAAATAGTAACTATTTAAATTTAGACAGTAATTAATTTAATCGTAATTTAATAATTAAGTAAATTTAATTCACTACAGTAAATATTGTATTAATTATTTACTACAGTAAATATGAATTTACTACAGTAAATTAATTACTATTTAAATAGTAATTATTTAAATTTAGTATCTCACCATCTTCCTCTGTTGCCAGTTTTTTTATCTTTTGGAAATTCTAAAATGAAGTCCAGTTTGCCTATAAGAAACATGGGGTTGACAGCTGTTCTTCAACTTGAAATCACGCCGTATCTAGTGTATACAGGGGTTATTCTCTTGATTCAAATCGAGAGTTTGGTCGTGTAATTTCAGTGGTAGCCTGTGTAGGGCTGTAGCTTAGTGCCGAGGACAGGTCGAGTGAATGCTTCGCGAATGTAAATGGAGACTTCCCCCAGAGTGAAGGGGGTGTGAAGGGGGTGTGGTGCTGATGGAATGCACCGCATGAACTGCTGGTGACAACAGCAGAGCTCGCGCTGCCTGGCGTTCGTTGTGCGCCTGTGTAGAAAGCCGGGGCACCCGGAACGTATTGTCACTTTTCTGTACTTAAGTTAGATACGAAAATGTTCCGCTTACGATATTGACATGCAACTTGGTGATTACTGAATAATACTAATTTGTGTATATTCTGGTTTTTCCTTCCAGGTTTGTTACTGTTTATAACGGTCCTTGTCATACATACAAGGTACAGCGACTCAGTGAATCCACTACATACTATTTTAAAATCCAGGCATATAATGATGCTGGAGAGGGAGAGTTTTCTGAAGTTTACGCTTTCACTACAACTAAGTCTCCACCCGCATCTCTTAAAGGTGAGCTTACGCTGCACCAGAAACTTCTGGTTTCTACTCTTTCTTTCTACTCTTCTGGACGAGAGGAAATGGCCTCAAGTTGCGCCAGGGGAGGTTTAGATTGGATGTAAGGAAAAATTTCTTTACTGAAAGAGTGGTTAAACATTGGAACAGGCTGCCCAGGGCAGTGGTGGAGTCCCCATCCCTGGAAGTATTTAAAAGACGGGTAGATGAGGCGCTTAGGGACATGGTTTAGTGGGCATGGTGGTGTTGGGTTGACGGTTGGACTCGATGATCTTGGAGGTCTCTTCCAACCTTAATGATTCTATGATTCTGCAAGCCACTTACGTACTAGGTTAAATGCTAAAACCTGGCTCTCTTCCCAGTCTAGCCTCTTTCCAGGGCCTTTGTGGGACAGAGAGCAGAGACTAGCTGTGGTGGGCATTAACTTGGTGTAAGAAGGGCTCTACTGGTGTAGGACCAGCGTGTGGTTATCTCCTACACCGTAGTAGCTCCTCCACCCTGACAGTGAGGATTTCCTCTACCCGTTTTCAACTGGAACGTAATTTTTCAGGGTTATCTATCATTTGATACAAGTTACAACAGCACATAGGCAAATGAGAACACAGATAATTCCTCTGACCTTCACTTTCTAATACGAACATTAAAGATTGCCACTAGAGAAGGCCATTCTGAAGATCCGAATGCTGATTACCTGCCGGAAAACTGGTTGACTCAACCATGTTTATAACGTGTAATTTCAGCTCGGAGATACATGGGCAGAAATGCTGCTTTCTCCAGTGATTTGAAAGCGCTCGCTCATCTGTACAAGCGTTAGACGTCAGCAGCTTATCTTGTCAGCTTGAAAAGAAAGACAAGTGTAACCTACAAATATTACAGTGATCATTTGTTAAGCTTACGTCATGAAATACAGCAAAGAAAGAATGAAACAGGTCTTAATTGCTTAGAATTATTTGAATGACTGTCACCTCTCCATCGTTGACAAACATGTTGGAAAAACCTTAAGCTTTTAGATTTACACTGCCCAGTCCCTTGTGTTAGAACAAACATTTTCAATGGAAAGCGGACAAAAGCAAAGCATACCTTAAGCCAGAGTGAGAAAACTTCCTTGTCGTCCCTGAAACTAGTGCCCATTTGCTGCATTAACTGTGAAAATGAGTCACTGTAATAATTGGTGATTTTGGCCATTTTCTTCTGATTGAAAAAGACTGAGAGCACTTGTAGAGACCATCGTTCTCTTTTTCTAAAATGCCAACAAATCACTTTTTTCTAGCACCCAAAGCAAATCAGCTGGAAGAAAACACTTACGAAATCACATGGGAACCTTTACAGCCGATGAAAGGAGATTCTATTGTTTACATCCTTCAGCTTGCTGCTGGGAGAGAGTTTGATCAGGTACCTTTTCTTTAACGTAATGAACTTGCGGAGGTTTTACTTCGAAAAACTATTGCAGAAAAAGATGTCTATATTTGAAGGTTCTCATTCTGTTTGGTGATGCTAGTGGCAGGGGGACTTTTTGTTTTGCAAAAAGGGATTCTTTTCGTTTCGGCAAGTGACCCGGTTTACAATCCTGACTCCCGAGGGTGCTGCATTCAATGTCTCGGTTGGTTCCTCAGTGGGGCTTTAAGTTTGTGATGGGTGAGGACAGCTTCCAGTACAGGGTCCTGCCGTGCTGCCTCTTCACGGCATCGAAGGTCGCCCCAGGTTAAAGACCATAAATTTTCATTTCCCTGTTGACCCTTCGCTTGTGCTGTAAAAGCAAATGACTGCGAAGGCGGGCTTGAGAGTCACTGGGAGAACTGGTGATCCAGAAGCGGGTTAACGCTGTTTTATCCTGTTCTCCCAGCGTTTCCCTGGGCTCTTTTGATTCTTGCATCTTACGGTCTGTGGCATCACTACCTTTGTTAGTCATAGACAGCGCTTGCCCCGCTTTAGTGGGGGAGCTATACAGAACAATAGTTGCGCAGAACGATTTATTTTCTTTCCCCCCCCCCTCCCCCGAGCTTCAAAATCCAGGTCTGTCAGTGTGGGGCATAGCAGGAAGCTGTAGATTATTCACAAGAAAATGAATCATAAATTCTTCAGAGATAAAAGCTGAGATCTTACTAGGTTGGCTTGAAGAGAACGACTTCAGGCAGTGTCCAGCGCTGCATGTGCTCGTAAAGCAGAACGGGAAGTGTCGTGTGCTGTTTGCAAGACGAATCCCATGTGAAGCGGTTCTCTCTCTCCCTCTTCTGACTAGGTGTACAAGGGACCAGAGACTTCCTTCCGCCTCACGAGCTTGCAGACAAACTGTGAATATCGGATCAGAGTCTGCGCTGGCCGTCAGTCCCAAGACTCTACTGGATCACAAGAACTGTATGGACCTTACAGTCCCAGTACAGTGTTCTCATCTCAGAAACAAGAGCTGGTTCCACCGTGTGCTGATCTGACGACGGAGTTGGCGGAGACTAAGAAGACATTACGTGAAGAGCGCTTCATTGCTATCGTTCTTCTCTGCGGATTTGCAGTGGTTGCTATTTTATTTGCTGTTGTTATTCAGTACTTTGTAATCAAGTAGATGAGAGCCTATTCAGTACTCGGCTTTTTGTACAGAAGCTCTCTCGGGTATTTATGGTTAGTTCTAATTAAAATCCTAGCTGGAAATGTATAGTTACATGCGTTTCCACTTTTGCTGCTGGCTAACAGTGAGGCTGGGTTGGCAGATCCTTTCCAAATACTGAACACAGATTTCTCGTAGAAAGGGTAATCCTGGGTCCTCTGTAATCAGGGTTAGCTGTTAATAAAACAGCAAAAAACTGCCTTACT